TCTTTAGATTTAAAATGTTTTCTCCCTCTAGTATTTACCTTTTGATATATTTACAAGTGGCAATCAAGTAATCATTTAATTCATAATTCAAGTTCTTTACATTATCAGTTTAAAGAAATCCGACTTTTCCTGTCTACTCTGACAGAACTGGCTATCCTGTCCACTCCTCTATCATCCTTTTCTGCACCTTCTTCTGCATATTCTTTGGAACAGGCATGACTAGAGATGAGGTTTCACCATAAATAATATCAGTAACAATTGAATTCCAACTATTAAGCATGAGGAAATAAAAGTGAATCCTTCAGATTACATATATAGTTTTATTTTTCAAATGTCAGTGTGAATTTCAAGATTTTCCTACTTTGATTTTGCAATGGCATTGGCAACCTGCATGGAAAATGATTTGTTAATTTGAGTGGCTTACTTAAATTTAAATATTTGAGATTCTATACTAGAGACCTTTCATCAAAGGCATATTGAAATAATTAGCTGAATAATTTTTGGTCCAGTCTGAAATTTTCAGCTATGTAAAGGAAAATTAAGAAAACTGCATCAATTTACCCAAAGTAATTAGTTACCTAAAGTGCAGTCATAGTGCTTACGACCAGTGCATAAATTTAAAATGGAAAGATATTACCACAAAGTACTACTATGCCACAGGGCATCCTGTCTAATTATACCAATCAAGACAGCAATAAAAAGCATGTCAGGTTGCATGTTTTTCAGAGACTGAGACAGTACCTTTAGAAAATCTCACCAGTAAAAATTAAAACAATTACTGTTCCGTAACATAGTAGCTTTTCTTGTACAGCAGTGAGAACGAGCTTTCGTTACAAGAAAGAGCTATAGTTAACAGATTAAAAAAAAAGTTCCCTACAAGAACAATATTGCTTATAGTGACTTACCTTTACTCTTAACAGTGTTCTTCAAAAGTCTGTAAGATTTCCTTGTTAAAATTTTACAGTGAGTTATAACAAATGAAGGAAGAATCATTTGACTATATTACGCAAAAGACAAGTGTAAACTTCACTTAGAAGGATACATTAGTCAAAATTAGTCAAAATAGTATTTAGAATGGCAACAGATAGGGTTCTCTGATTTATGCATTAAATTTTGATGACTGTTCAAATAACAGCATACAAAAATTATGAAAGCAGGTGATTTTCAATGTTCAAATGAGAAGCATATTTTGGAATATTTGTCTCATATCTAGAAGGAGACATTGTATATTAAAATGTGTTAAAGAAACAGAGTTAGGTAATTCATATATTGAGGATTTGTGCAAATGTTTCCGTAAAGTTATATTCTGTATGTTGCCTAAAAAAAATCGGGAGAAAAGGACTCTCCAGGCAGTATTAGATATGATAGAGAGCAGCTCTTTTAATGAAGAGTACATGGAATACAAAGGCACATGCCTACATATAGAATTCTTACACTTTTATGCCTTTTAGTAATTATATCTAATGGAGACATTCAATCCTAAGATCCTTTTGCCCAGGTACCACCCTTAGAACTGCCCCACTGGAGCACCTCCAAGGGCCTTCAACCTTCTATCTTGTTTTGTCTACCTTATCTCTTGCTATTCCGGTCCAGGTGCACATCCCAATGGAATGTTCTTGCTAAAATCTATTGCCTTGAAAAGAGAGTCAAAAAATGGTTAAGCCGAAGCTTCAGGAATGTGGCACACAAACTGTGAGAAAGTAATGGTCTAAAGTGAAGGAAAACCCCAGCAACATTAAAATCTACAAAAAGCTAAAAATCCTAAAAATTCTAAGGTATCAGTATGTTATGGTAATATGGCTGTATCTGTACAAGTATCATGAAGTAGAAATCAAAATATTCTCTAAGTGTGTCAGATTTCACTGTGTGCCGGAAATTGCTAGTCAAAATGTTAGTACTGGAGTCCCTAAGGGCCTCAGCCTCAGCATTGGCAGCAAAGAGCAGTTACCTCATCTCCAGTTTTTATTTTATTGAGCCTTATGAAGCAGATGATCAGTATCCTGAGCCTCTATGAAAGTTCACCCTGTGGTTAAAGGGTTTTGAGGTATGGTGAAGCAAGTGCAGACCCATAAGCAGCCTTGTTCTGTAGAATCAGGGTACAGCAGCTGTTCAGACAATGGCAGCCTTAAGGTTACAAACAAGGCTTTGGAAGTCACCACAACTTAAATGATTTCTCTCTCCCCTCAGGGAACATCCCTGTCACAGTTATTTGAATTACGAGTCACCCTTTCAGGCAAATAACACATCAGAATAGCAAGCCTCTTGTAGGATAAAAAGTCAATTCAGGCAGTTTGGTTCTGGTGTCTGTGTTTGCGTCAAACAACCCTACTTGTTTTAAGCAATTAAGCCTTGTGTTCATAATGTGCTATTATAAACTGAGATGATGAATGCTTGTCCTTCATAAAATAGCAGTCAAATATATCTCTTTCCTTTTGATGGATTAGAATTTTTTTTAGTGAATAATGAGAGCCAATTTAAGTCAGACTTTTAAAGGAACGATGAAAAATAGCTTCAATTGCTTCAATGAGAAATTTAACCAGGACTTTTTTCCTCTTAAGAGCTGGAAACAATTTAAACCAATAAACTTTATTCAAACTGATATATAGAACAACTTAATATAACCCTGAAAAGATTCCATCATTTTCTTCGTCCATTTTCCTTTTTCATTTCAACTTTCTGCTATGCATTTATCACCTGTTTTCTTTTACACATATGATTACTCTACAACTAATCCCATTCATAAACTGTTCATATTCTACTGAGAAAAATAAAGTAAATAGACATACCTTAGGTTATACAAATTAAAACATAGAGCTTGGGTTGGGCTGAAGTGCAGATAATGTCCCGAGAGCTGCAGTGCTCCCACCCAGTACTCCAGGTTTAGAGCAAGTGTTTCCTTAGTACAAGGATTTCCCATGCTGAGAAAGGCAGGAGAGGCATCACTGCTCCCACATCCTGCTTCTTTCTGTCCTTTTGATTTTATACATGAATCTGGAAAGGGAACTTGTACTACATGGTATTTGGGATATCATGCAAAGAAATAAGGGTATTTCAGTGGTTATCATGCCCTCTTTAGAAAAGACCAAAAATTCAGTTCTATGAACCCTGAAGCACAAGCTTGTCTAAGCATTTTGGCTTACTTTAGAAACAAACAAAAACCAGAAGCTTGTTTCTACATCTCTAAAGTACAAATGCCTGGCCCTGTTTTCATCATGCCATGCTGCTAATTATGAAAAATACTAACAGCTTCTCATAAGAACTTTGTATGGCTCTTGAGGCTGTCATTACCCATGATGAAAAAGAAAGGAAATGTCGTTCAATTCTTTCCTGAGGGAGGTTGGGGTGTATGTGTTTAACAAATTAGTTAACTATTTTTATATTTTTAAAACAGCTGATTAGCAAATCCTACATTTCTTCCACATGGCATTTCATGTTGCATGCTTCCATTTGACTAGAGAGGCTTTTTCCTGTCTGCTGAAAGCAGTAATTTGAATTAATTTCATTCTCCAGGTGTAGTTTTCCACCCAATTTCTTTGTCTTGAAAATTTATAAGCTTATGTGAATATAAAATCCTCTACTGGGACTTTCTCTATAAAATGTGCAGTATTTTTTCATTATAAGTAACAAACGCTTCATAAGCATGTTTTTGCATATTCAACTACCTTTATTCAAGATGAATAATTAAATTGACAAAACTAGCAGGATACTGCATATATGGAATACTGTTTCTCATGAGTAAATGTTGCATATTGAGGTTCCTGTTATTGGCTTGATTCTCACAACTGTATGGCTGCATGTTCCAAGTTTCCTAAGATCAATATTGATACAACACCGGCTTTCTACACCAGTGAGGTTTTAACTAGCTATTCTAACCTGTAATAACTAGTACCCTTAGTTATTGGCCAAATTGTATTGCTCAGCCCTGCACACTTCATTTCCCCTTCTGACTCAAGAAGTATTCTTATTAAAATTAATTTTCCTTTCCATTTTTAACCATAAAGCAGTGATGTTTTTACTTCTGTTACATTCAGAAATGTCATGTAAGGTCTGACAATCAGTACCCTTTCCCTTCTGCCGCTAATATGCCTTTTTTTATTTTTTCTTTTTTCATTAATGCAGTTCAAATAATGAGGAAAATTATATTATGAACAATAAAAATATAGTTCCTATGTCCTTATACTCAGTCTTAGTTTTAACTACAACATAATGAGATGCTAATATTCACTTTTATTTAAAAACAAATCTTTTCATTTTTCAGAGTGGTAAAGTTTTAAGTGTGCAGCCATAAATACGACATCTCTGACAGAAAGTATATACAGCTCCAAAAGGAATTCCAGAAGTTTGAAGCACTCCACTTGTTTTCTCTATAAAAGTACCCTTTATTAAGACAGGATTGTCTGCGCCTCCACATGTAACTAAGCTAATTTTTCATAAGGACTTATATGATCTCCACTGTATTTGAACAGAGGAGGAACATGTGTCCTCCTCAGACTGCTGTATGGCAAGTTACTGCTCATATAGTTTTCAATAGCAAACTGAGGCAGAGAAAGCCTAGTGGCTTCTAAAATATGTAAGGGTTAGAGAGAGAAAAACGAAATTAAAAAACTTCCCTTACAGTTGGACAGGTTTTCACTGACAAAGAGAAGGAAGTGGGAATGCCCTTGCCAGGAGTTGGGCAGAAAAACATAACTCCATAAAACTCTTATGCTTCTCATTTTGATTTTAAGACAAAGTTGTGGTAGGGGTAGAGTTATATGGAATTTTATGAACTGTACATGGAGGTTGGATTCCTTTATCTTCGGATTTTTTCAATTGTCCTGAAATGCATCATTATTCTTATCCATTGTGTCCCCACTAATACAAATAGGTATCATTCTGGCACTCAGCTAAGTAATTCTGTTGTCATCCACAGATGGACAGGGGATTACATGGCTAAGAAATGAAATAAAAGCTAAATCTCTACGCTTGATAAAGCTCTGCTTGTTTTCTCTTTCATTCAGGATTACCGAGTGAACATCTTTCTCCGTCAGAATTGGAATGATCCACGCCTTGCATACAGTGAATATCCAGATGACTCTTTAGATTTAGATCCATCCATGCTGGATTCAATTTGGAAACCTGATTTGTTCTTTGCTAATGAAAAAGGTGCCAACTTTCATGAAGTTACAACAGATAATAAATTGTTGCGGATTTTCAAAAATGGAAATGTACTTTATTCCATCAGGTAAGTCTCTAATCAAATTATTTTTTCAGATAGAAGCTCAAAAGTATACCTAAGAATTGCTAAAAGATATATTCAGTTGCTAGTCATGCAGAAGTATCATCTGTGAGTTCTGAACACAGAACTTGTCAACATTACTGTTAATACTAAATTAAAAAATGATCATTCATTAGGCATGCACATAGTAAAAGTAATAAGAAAAGTATCTTTCCCATTTTAAAGTACAAGTACTGAGCCTAGAGGAACTAGGATACTGCACAGAGCAAGCAGTCCTTTAGTATTATAATCTGTGTTGGCCTATGTATGAGTTTCACAGTCTGTAGCCTTCAATGTCACGACAATCAAACGTTATTTCTCTTTCGCCTTTTTGCATATTGCAGTTACCCTTCAACATGGAAACATGACCTGTTTGAGGAAGTATGACATTTAAAGATTAGTCACTTACTGCTGGAGTTGGAGAGAAAAGTGGAAAGCAAACTTTTGAAAAGGTTTAAGAAGCTATAAGCAGCAATCATAAGTATTGACAAAATCTAGTTATCATAGTTCATTTCTCTTCTATTCTTACCACTTTTATTGATACAGATACAGACATCAGTAGGCATTTTACCACTGTCTTCAAAAACTCAATCTAATGAGAAATATATTGTAGAAAAGTATGCTAATGGCCCACTAGACATGGTATAGATTTGGTATTGAAGCAGTGCAAAATGTTACACTTTTCAAAATAGATATACTATTGTCCACTTAGTGTTTTACTTTGCACATTTTTATGACACTTAATTAATGGGTAATCAGACTCTTTGAAGATATATCAGGAATAGTTTGTATACCAGAAAAAAAAGCAAACATTTGTGATTTGTATGGATGTATAAGTGGCAAGACAGCCTCTTTCCTCCCTCCCTCCAAGGCAGCATCTTTTCAAGTTTATACAGGGAGAAAGGATTGAGTGAAAATTCTTATGGGCATTTCATATTCAAAAGGAGGTTCGTCTGCCACTCTAGGAACATAGTGAGTCTTCAGTGTCACAACCTGTATTCTGTCACTAGAAACAGATGGAAAGAAAGTTAAAAGGATTCCGTCTCCGGATTCAAGTAGAAAGTAGATCTAAATCAATTATCTCCAGACTGTCTAAGTCACTCCAAGAGGCACTGGCAGCTGTTCCACTCTAATCAAGTAGCTCCTCCCCCTTGCCCTACTCCTTTCAGATACATACAACACAGGGTATAGACCCCACTGCTCAGCTGAGGCTGAGGGAAGTTTGGATTGCAACTTCAATAGAATTCAGACCAAGTTTGTGCCCAGGTGAAAGGGGGAAAAAAAACCAAATATGGGAAATATTATAATATTAAATTACAAAAGAAAACATTGAATGTGATGAAAGCAGATACCAGATGGTTCCTGTGTTTCTTATGAAGCCAGAAAGTTTATGTTGCCATGATTTAATTAAGGACTATTGTAATTTCTTAAACAAATTTAAAATCATACTATTGGCATGTAGTTTAATTGTTATGTGCATTTCAGTCAGTTAAGCTTTTGATAAGAGGAGACATGCTAATAGCTAATGTGTTGATAATAAAAGAAAAAAAAAGAAGTTTTCTAAATCTGCTTTTTTGTTTCATTCCTTAATGTCTCCTCCCCTAATTGCATTTGAAAAATTCAAACAAGAAAATAATGGAAGGTTACAGTGCCTATTTCAATGAATACTTAATACAAAATACTAAAATATTTACTGAAGCATAAAATACAGGTGCATCTTCTCTGAGATGACTTGCTGTGTTACCAGCCTACTAGTCTGATTTTGCATTAGGAACTGTTTTTAATAGCATAGGGATAGAGCCCGGGTCTGACTTCCCTCCTCAGTCTCTTACCCTGCAACTCTGTCACTTGCAGGCTAAACAGAAATTATAGAGAGAATGAATCGAGAAGATTTGGTCAGCAAAAAAAAAAAAAAACATAAAATAATATACAGCCATACTTGCCACCTACTGCCCACATCCCTTTAGCCCAATGACAAAAACAAGGGAATGAGTTTAAGAGAGGAGGATTAGAGCATTTCCATGCTAGAAAAGCCTTATATGTCAGGTCTTCAATTCAAGTTCCTCAGGTTTTTGTAGGACATTCTATCAACTGAACTGATTAATGGCGGTACAGTAATGTCCACAAATGATGAATGGATACCTAAAAATGGCCAGTGAGGGAAAACATGCGCCTTTATCTCTTATGTTCTTCTTTCTCATTCCATTGAGAAGTATTACTTTGAAGATAAATTATTGTATTTATATAAAATGTAAAAATACCTCTTTTGCCCACAAGTTGTGAAGTATTTCACGGGAAGTATCAGGACTAGCATAAAACACAGCTGCAGTTCAAAATCACAGGCATATTTCAGTTTACCATCCAAATCATAAAATGCTATCTTAAACCTTTGTGTTGACGTTTTAAGTACCTTATTTTAGGACAACAGCACATGAATTACTTTGCCACCATGATTTGCAGCTGACATGTGTTATGAAATTCTTGCAGATTTGGGTAAATTTTATGTCAAGGATTTGAAATACTGAAACAGTACAATAACTCTGCTGTAGTACAAAAAGGCACGCTGTTGCTGCATTCTTTTAGACTTCTCATAAAGTTAGGCAACCCTACTGAAAAACTTGTTTTTCTGAAAGTCTGCAATAATTTTTTTCCATATTATCATACTAAGCTAAGTGAGTTAAATGGGTTCAGCTAGTATGCGTCCTTTTTGAGAGCTTTCTAATGAAAACGTGTTCTATTTCTATTTACTTCTAATGTATTCATGCATTCTTCCTGCGCAGTTCTACGGCATTTTGGTGGTATATTTTTAATGGGGTTTTGTGTTCTTTCAGGTTGACTTTAATACTGTCCTGTCCGATGGATCTCAAAAATTTTCCAATGGATGTGCAAACATGTATAATGCAGCTGGAAAGCTGTAAGTTTGTGTAATGTATTATCCAATAAATACTTTTGCAGGGATTACAACTATGCAGGAGGTAGAAAAATCCCTTGTAGTGGTACAAAAATAAATTTCCAAAATGAATCTTCTATTTTACCAAAAGAATCTCTGAAATATACATGATTTTCAGAGATATTTTCATCCTTATTTGCACTGATAATCAATAGTTTTCTGTAAATCTGAAGTTATCACTAAACTTAAATACCCAGTGACAGTTTACCTTCAAACAAAATTTCTGCATATAGAGTTTCACCATAAGTCTTCCCTGTGTTCACACGTGCAGGAGGAGAATAATATAGGAGAGTATAAAAGAAACATGAGAATGGAAACTGTAAAGCAGCTATGCCATTTCAAGGCACATACACACACTCACAAAAGGACAAATCAGCTCTTGTCTCTGATGTTATGATCTGAAATAACAGAGGATCTATGAGGAGAAAGACATAGATATGCATTAAATTTTCATCTTCCTTGTGATATGAGTATTTGGAAATTGTCATTTCCCTTAAAATGAGAGGACTTTGAAAGAGAGTTCTAGTGGAAAAATCCTCCCAGTGATGCAAAGAACAAAAATAAAATAAAGTAAAGCATTCCTTGAAGGATTCCAGTAATCTGAAATTTGTGAAAATTAGTGACAGGGCAAAACATATTAGGAAGTATCCATCTAAATGATCTAGATTTACAGTTTTAGTAACTGTAAATATTTCAAAATATTTTTTAAAAAATCTGCATGTAGAATGAACATACTGGATTATTTGAAGCATATTATAGATGAGAAGCACAACACACATAATATGATTAAAGTATTTCTTGAATTTTTTTCTTCTTTTACTGGAGCAAAGTAGCATCTTAGGGGAGGGAGAGGTAATTATCTATCAGCCAGTATGTCAGAACTGTTCAATGTATGAATAGTGATATGCTTTTATAAAAAC